GATGCAGTGAAATCATTGAACCACATAGATATGAGACGTATCCTAGTGAGCAGGATGAGATTATTGGTATTTAACACATTTTACTTATGGAAGAGTGCTCACACACAAATAACTAAGGCAGTGCCGACGCATTTCGACAGTATGTTTGATGTTAAGGTCATAACAAACAATGACTGGTTGCACAAGAGGATCCCGACACAAGGGTTGCAGGTAGCTGGATTAAGGAAGACAACATCCTCAGCCTAACTCAAACAAATAATAACGCCAACCAAATGTGATTAGTAGAGACCAATCAAGTTAAAGTCAAGAGGATGAGGTAAAACATATTTAAAGCACAAGTCTGAAAACTCTGCTTATAAACGAAAAATATTTAAAGTAAAACCCTGTGGAGAATGCAATTATATCAAAATCACAATATGCAATATAATAATAACGCATAAAAATCAATCTGTATAAGTATATAGAACTGCTTGCATACAATAAAAAAGATAATGAAATGCAATTTTTTTAAGCGAAAAGATAAAATAATTACAATTATCTAAATTGAAGACAAGGCAGACTTTTTAAAAACTAGCAACACTATCTACAAATTTAAATAGTAGTATATACTAAAATAAATGATAATAATACAAATGATCGTACTCTAAGCAAAGGGAATTGAGCAAGGGATAGGGCTGGCTGTCTCAAAGTATTCGCTGAAGAAATATCATGTGGATGGGCGCAAATAGGAGTAGGTGGAAGAGAGAGTTGCGGGTCAGGAATGTGCAGTCGATAAGTAACACTGACACTCAAATAAACAGGATCGTCCTGAGCTCCAGGTGACTGCTGGCCGGAGACTATGACACGACCTGTATCTGCTGTCGCCGAAGATGATGGCAAGGGATTCGGTGAATCTGTATTTACTGAAGGAGAAACAGCAAGGCCAGTGTATAATCGAGCAATTTCACGATTGCCTATATCCTTGGTGGGACCAAGGCGCGACAAGTCGGCAAGGCCACGACGCAGAGTGTAGCACATCTGGTACACACGAGGATCTTGATTCCGAGAATATTGATAGGCTACATTAGAGAAAAAGGAAAGAAAAATTATGCATATAAAAGAACATCAAAGGACATATTAAGGAATAGAAAGTGGATACAGCCAGGTATATCATATTATAAATGCAATGAAATTGCTTAAAAAAAATAGTATAATTTACGAGAAATAGGA